TCACATTTAAGGTCATTATTGGGAATTTTTCGACAATTTACTTCAGTTGTTTCATAAACGATATCCATATATTCCGATGTAAGAATATTTCCTGACATTTTTCTTTCACCACCATTTAATGCAGAATTTATGTTTGCTGATAAATCACTGTCGAAATTATCTCCTTTTTCTAATACGAAATAGTTATCCTTCACATTATTTGTTAATGCAATCCTTGATGTTTCGGACATTTTTGTGGTTTGTTTAGCTGGTAAGTACTATCTGGAAACTAAATTATTATAAAAACTTAAATTTCAAACTTTCCACAAAGATTTTTAAAACAATTGTTTTTGTATAATTTGAACGTGTACTTGAATATGCGAGGCTAAAACGAAAGCCTCTAGATTAAAGTGAAATGTTGTCTGGTGATCATCAGAATAACATTAAATCTATCAAATATTACAGTGTCAAATATAAACAACCATGCCTCTTCTTTAACTGTACATTTTGCTTTTCTGAAAATACAATGAAATTTAGATTATAATACCAGGATTTCCTAATTTTCGTAAGTATATAATAAACGTTCAGACAGTTTTGGACATTTTGAAATTGACGATTTCGATGAAAAAGACACTGTTCAATTGATATTTATGTGATGTGGAGCAGTCCCCGTCCAAGGGTTATACATGCTCGCTGTTAATTTGCCTAAAATAGAGGGAGACTCTATCGCATCACTAGAAAAGCTAGCTCACTAGCAAGGCAGTACAAGTTCCCTATTTATGTATTTACAAAATAATTCTGAATACATTTATCTTAATAAAAGATACTTAACACTATATAACTTAGGATTCATAATGTATGTAACAGAATTTTTCTGATGTAAAAGGGTTCTTAATACTATTCAACTGATGATGCAAAAGGTATTATGACGCCGGTATAGAAGGGAGCCGACACAGGTGACACTAAGCAGTGTCATACAAATCATTATGGCAGTAAAAGTAAAACTCCAAAGGCCGTACTTCACGTCTCCGTTCTCTGGAATATTCCCTTTGGATGTTACCTCAGATGTTGCTGTATTCGTTAAGAATGCATTAAGTGATGCTTTCGATACATGATCAGCTGACAGGAAGTCGTTTTTGTCCATTTGTACATATAAATACAAATACAATACATTAAATGAAACACTTGACAGCGATGAAAAACGGTCAGAGAAGAACTTAAACTATTTTTTTAACATAACTAGATTTAAATCTATAATGCGGACTTTAATAATTATGATGCTCAAAAACATGAACACATATTTTACAACAACACCATTCAAGTATGATAGGTGGACTTCAATAAAAATAATGCTCAAAACATGAACACGTATTTACAATAAAAAAAATACTTGAAGAATACTTTACCTAAATTCACATTCATCACCCCGCCGCAACAGCGACTGGTTAGAAATGTCGCAGACGACTTGTTTCCTTGGAAATACACTGTCGTTTCGCTGATACCACCGTCTTTGTCAGCAACATTACATGAAGAGAAATCAACATTTGCTACCCCTGCGACATTTGGTACGGAAAGGTAAATCTGACGACAGCAGTTTGGGATGAGACATTCTATAGATAGGTATCTAGACATGGTTCTTCTGAAAATTTACAAGAAAAAAGGAGCTACGGTAAAAAGTAATACATGGATACTCAAAATAGTGAAGTCTTTTTATCAGCTATTGCTTCAAAGTGCTAGAAACACAGATAGGAGATAAGCCTCCCAGTACTTATTTCAGCTAAGTATACTCATACAAAAATGCAGTTCAAGTGAAATGTCGAAAGATACTAAACTAACAAGATCAAGTGCTTACCATCAGATTAAACGATGACATTTCGTTTATTGGTCAAATACCTATGACAACTGAGTCAGCTACTTGGATTACGTTTTCAAATGGTTTTAAGAAAGTTGATTCTAAATTGTCCTTTAATTGTCAAAAATATGAAATGAAATTTAATTAAAAGTTTTATTGCTTTTGTAAAATATAACTTTGTTCATTACGCCTGGTCAATCCTGTAGAGTATTTTAATCCTTCTCATAACTAACTGAGAAATTATGTTATAATTGTTTTAAAACAACATAAAGCGTCTTTGATGTATTAATGGAGGCCAAGAAGATAATAGTAGAAGTTGTAATGAAATTACAGTACATTTTACATTCATATTAACAAAGCATCAGTTAATCAGTTTATTTAACGTAGGTCACGGGTTTGCTGACGTCATTAAAACTGGGTACGCAATTTATATGATTTGGGCGACTTTCTTGTGCACATCTGATTGAACGTAATTGGTAACATACCTTGATCACTTTTAAGTTCCCATAAGCTTGGATTCTGGGGACAAAATAATAATGCAACCTGGACGACCGACTTTCTCCCCTACTTCTATACAGATTGACAAGTGGTTAGGAAGTATGATGACATTTCCAGTCCACTTGACTCTTGGTCATCCTCTTAAGGGTGGAAAGAAGCAAATTGTGTCAATTTTCTTTCTTAATGACGTATGCTGTTTGAGATAAAAATAAGGTTGTTGTTTTTTTTAACTTATGCAAATTTGTGCTTTCTTATGTAAATTAAGGATTCATTCTTTCATTTGTTCAAGAAATCAAACATGCATACCACTTACAACTGTCAGATGTTGTCTGTTTCTGGGACACTGTTCTTCACCGCTGTTTAATCACATACATGTGCAACACAACGTACTGGTGTACGCAATGGATTCTTTTTAAATGACAGAACCGATTTTAAATTGAGCCATGGCTTCTGGTAACTTGCAATCCGAAAGAGGAGACAAAATACTTTCATTGTAAGGCAATCTTTATATTAACATTTCTTTAAACGTTCCTCATAATGTACAATTATCAATTAGAAATTAATTGACAGAAAAACTGGGCAAGAGTTATGAAAACCCTCTTGAAAACAACTTGTTCCTTTTTAAAAAAAAAAAAAAAAAAAATTGGCGCTGCAAGGGCAGTTATACAGCGTTTGCTTTAGAATCACGAAGTAAGGATTTGATCCTTAAGCCGTTGGTTCGAATCTCACTGTGGGATGTGATGATCGGATCGGTGAGACTGTATGAAACGAAGACCGGGGTGCTGGCATGGAAAATATCCCTCAATGCTCAAGGGCCATAAGTGTCGAGTACTGGAATGGATTTGTTGCCCCTCTACGGACAGGTCGTGGTGTCTCAGAGTGAGTGAAAATTCTTGAATATACTTGAAACAACAATTCTAGCTAAATGTCCAAAATGATCAATTCATAGCAAGCACTAAAGTACGTAAAAATGACAACAATATTCTTGCTGCCTCCTTTACCTTTCACAGCTTTCATGCTTTAATCAGTGTATTTTAACATATTTTGACATCATTCAACGTTTATTAATAGCAAAGCAAAATAATATGAGAAAATGTTAATAAAAATATAAAATTTACATTTATTTATTTATTATTATTTTTTTATTTTTTTTTTATTTTTTTTTTTTTTTTTGGTTTTTTGGCAATCTCAAAAACTGATTATGCAATAATCAGTTATCAGGCCTTGCATAACAACATGTAGGTAAATTATTTGTATTTTTATAGCTTCTCTCATACCTCAAAATTAGAAAATCGCCCTGTTTCCTTATTATTTCTTCACCAATATTCCTAAACCAACAGGTTCTTTATGATGTGTTATGAAAACTTCTATATCACATTATGATACAGGTGATGACAATATTCATTGTCATCTATAATATTCAACTATATTCAAATATTGTAACATCAACATTTGATCTTTCTTCTGTCGTCAAGAAAACTTTTTGAAATGTGATTTGGTAGAAAATAGATAAGCAAATACAGACATTTTTCCTAGTCTGAATTCAGAAAATAATATTTAACAGATTATTAAATTTGGTATATTTGCTATTTTTAAAAACAGCCTATTTTTCACGTGTGAATACTGAAGACTCGTTTTTATGCGAGTTCTTTATACAGCAAAATAATCAAATCACGACAGCAATAACTCACATGTTTTAAGTTTATCGTGAGATTATGCATGTGCATAAGTATAATATTTTCATCATTTTATTTCTTAGTTCTATCGAAATTACGCGATAATTAAATCCTTGCATATTGAGGAATCAACAGAAGTAAGCCATTTCAATCATGACATGATCCTAAAACATCTATATAATCTTAAAATGATTGCATCTACGTCATGTTTATAATTATGACTGTTTATAAAGCATGATACTATAACCAGATTTTATTCCCATTCAAAAAATATCCACAAGTTTCCCAGTATTCTTGATCTCGTAAATATTTTTTTCTTTGTATAATTCATATAAAATGTTTTTATACGCGAAAACTCGTAATCCCCCGAAATTGATTTCAAACTGCCGAATCGCGAACATAAGATAACACGAAGAATAGCTGGTTTACATCATTTCAGCTTGAATGAATTTACGAATTAACGAATTTACAATATTGCTACCTAAAATCAATAACGAGAGATTTCAACAAGATTTTTTCATAAAAAATTGGAATAATGCAAACATTGTTATATAAACTAGAGGTACTGTGAGCAATGAGCTCACTAAATAATACCCCCCACCTTTCATAATGTCCATGTGTTGCTATATATTGTTTTACCGTAATGTGTAAAGAGGAATAACTTTCCCTATCAAATGTTATCCAGAAGCTTCTATATGTGACATAAAATGGCAATGTCCATGTTTTGCTATTGGAAAACTAAAATACGTGTCGAATAAAAAAGTAAAATAGGAGGTGCACAATGGCAGCATGTAATATTTTTTCTGTGAAAGTTTCATTAAATTTCACTCAGTAGTATAAGAGGAGTTGCGAATAAGAGATAAAGCGTAACAGACGGACGGACGGACAGACGGACGGACGGAAATCCCGATTACTATATACCCTCCCACTTTTCAAGCGGGGGGTATAATAATAATGAATAGTGTCACATATACAAGGTCTGAAGAACAGACCCGCTTTGCAATGCCTGATAAAAAAAAGAAGGTACTTATATAATAGCATGTTCTTATGCAACTTTAAAAGATACACTGAATGTCTCTTTGATAACAATATCAACTGCCTTTTCTGTTCTAACGCTAGATAATATATGTTTTGAGAAATGTTTGCGATTACCAACCAAAAAAAACCCAATCGCCTCTCTCATCGTATCCTATTCATCTAATTAAATGACTGTATTCCTGTTTGAAGTCATTAAAATGACTGTAGTTATCTGTTGAATCAGTGGGCAGATCCTCGTTGGCATGTAATGTGTTATATTCGCCATCGACCACCTGGCTGTTACGATTTTCAGTTTGGTTTGTGTCCTCAACTGTTTCATAAGCATTAACAACACCATCGTGCTCTAAAGCAAAGTCATTACTTGATGTCATTTGTTGAACGTTCAGCTGAGTATCCTTGTTTGGTGGTGGTACACTGTTCGAACCCACTTTTTTCTCTAACACAAAATAATTATCAGTCGTTAGTCCGACAGAACTGTAATTAGAAGTCTGGGTTCTCTGTTGTTCATTCACAGTGGAATATTCGCCGTGATCTAGAAACTAAAACATTTTTAAATTCAATATGTGTGGGTTTTTTTCATTAGAATTTTGATAGATTGATTGATTTTATAATGTTTAACGTCCCTCTCCAGAATATTTCACTGATATGGAGACGTCACCATTGCCGGTGAAGGGCTGCAAATTTAGGCCTATGCTCGGCACTTACGGCCTTTGAGCAGGGAGGGATCTTTATCGTGCCACACCTGCTGTGACACGGGGCCTCGGTTTATACGGTCTCATTGGAAGGACCGCCCCATTTAGTCGCCTTTTACGACAAGCAAGGGGGGGGGGGGGTACTGAGGACCTATTCTAACCCGGATCCCCACGGGGCCATTAGAATTTTGAAAATGAGCTAGAATTTTGAAAATGAGTGTTTCTATGGTAAATTTTATTTATCGTCAGATGTGAGGAAACAAGACTCTGTAACATGAAAGGAAATTTAAATATTTGATATGGGCCTATAAAAATAGAAAATGCATTTGAACAAGTTGTCGAAATAAAAATACACTTAACCTGTGCAAAAAGTGGATTACCTTTAAATGCCCAATAAAAACATGTTTGCAATACAAGGATATTTTGAAAACATATGTCTTATGTCAATTTATGTGTCTCTTGAGAAAAAAAATCCAATCAATTGTAATCCAATACTGGAACTTGATTTGTTAGTCATTTAATTTAAGAGAAATGTAAAAAAAAAATTAGATTTTTCTCAAATCACAGTTAGTAAATGTGCATATAAAAAGAAGACAAATAATTTGTTCAGACTGCAAGACAGAGGAACAATAAAGAGGGCTATAGCCACTGTCTCTGGTTCAAATTGGCTACTTCCTCGAAAGGTTATGACACTTGAGCCAAAACAATTTACAAGAACTCCGTCAAGCCACGTCAATCTTAGAACTAGAAATAAAGTGACTCTAGTTTGAAAACTCGACTTAAGTAATAACACTTTTATAAACAAGTTTTGTGTCATGTTAGCAAATCAATTGATAAAGCTGAAAAACTCTGAAACCAGAATCTTATTTCTGTTATCCAAACCTATGACTGAATGAAAATGATTGAATAAGTTTACATTATCCATCTTAAGCCAATATGATATAAATATTCATATTTCTCCAAATTAATATGTAATATACATGTACATGGTTGTCGTAAATACATTATACAATATCATACCTGTCTCTTTGCCTTTTTCATCGAATTTCTGAAATAAAGCAAATCTTTATCATTCATAACCATTTCGTATTTTTTAAACTTTTTTTTCAAATTTCAGATAAAAAATATATTTCTGACGTCTATACCTATATCGCCGGTATAAAAATATGCCAACTCCAATGACAAGCAAAGTTAAACAGACTAATGCGACAGGAACTATAACAGAAGGGTGATCATGTGGCATCTCTGGAGTTTCCAAAATGTTATTCTTTGACGTAGTTTCATATGCTGTTGATTCTGTTGATAAATTAAGTATACCAGAAGAGGATTTAGATCCACGATTAACTGGTGGAGGTGTTTCTTTTTCAATTTCTTCAAGATAAGAAACGAGCAATTAGAAAGCTTTGTTGTTTTATTATTCAAGTATAAAAACGATTTAATTCCATTGATTATAAACCGGTACTTGTGTTTGCACCTTAAAAATATGAGCCACTCTGCATGAAATTAGAAATGTATGCGAAGAGCATAAGTGAAATATGAAAATATCGAATGAACAGTAATCATACAATCTCAAATGTTCATTACAGGTTGGGAGCAGAACAAATAGGGACCTCTAAAACACCAGAGATTATATCAGGTGTAAGATTCATTTTGCAATAACATGCATGCCCTTCATACGAAAAATTTCCAAAAAAGATAAGTTTTTAACAAATACGAGGGGTTATCAAAAAGTTCATGGACTGAGGCTATAAAAATAGTATTATGTAGTCTGAGCTTACAAAATTTTTTAAGGAATATAAAACAACAAAAAATAAAGAAATGTTGAAAATTTTAGCTTGATACGTTCATTAATTCCGAAGTAATAATAAAATAAAACGACATTATATCATCGCCCGGCGCCGTCGCCGTTTAGTTTTCTGACGTCGGACAACGTCATTTTTTTCAATGTCTGGCCCTTCTACCTCATACACTTATTTTGATGAGATTTCCTGGAGCTGAGTAAGGACTTCAATCATTCATGAAATGCATGAAAAAAAAAAAATATATATATATATATATATATATATATATATATATATATATATATATATATATATATATATATATATATATATATATATATATATATATATATATATATATATATATATATATATATATATATATATATATATATATATATATATATATATATATATATATATATATATATATATATATATATATATATATATATATATATATATATATATATATATATATATATATATATATATATATATATATATATATATATATATATATATATATATATATATATATATACCAGTAACGGTAGGCTAGTAGAAGAGCGTTTGCTTCGTGATCGGGGGGTCCGGGTTCGATTCTGGAGCGCGGCGCCGCGTCAAACTTTAGATGTAAACATAGGTAGTGACTGTTCCTTCGCCAAGCGCTCGGCACTTGCAGAGAAAGTCACTGATAATTCGGATATGGCCTTAAAAACATAGGTCCCGGAACACGGTAAGCGTTGGCACGGCAATGAACCCTAACTACTCAATGGCCCTAATGCCGAGTAGAGATCTAAATTTGAAGCCCTTCACCATTACAGTGACGTCTATATATGAGTAAAAAATTCTCGAGAGGGACGTTAAACAATATACAATCAATCATTCAATGTAAATATATATACTTCATCTTGCGTTAATAATACTCTGAATTGCAGACATTGAACAAATTTCAGGAGTATTAAAGTTTGTCTAGATTTAAGATAACAAAGCGTGGATTGATTGATTGTATACTGTTTAACGTCCCTCTCCAGAATATTTCACTGATATGGAGACGTCACCATTGCCGGTGAAGGGCTGCAAATTTAGGCCTATGCTCGGCACTTACGGCCTTTGAGCAGGGAGGGATCTTTATCGTGCCCCATTTAGTCGCCTTTTACGACAAGCAAGGAGGGGGGTACTGAGGACCTATTCTAACCGGATCCCCACGGGGCACAAAGCGTGGAAATAGGTCCACAAACTTTTAAAGAAAAAAATATCTTATGATTTAAAGTGAGAATGTCTTTATTTAACAATAAAACTAATGTGACATACCTAGAAACACATGAATGTCCCCGTGACAACAATTCCTGACATCATTGAATATTTCTAGTGATTTGTTTCCAGTGTTATAAACTGTTGTCGGGTACCTAAGATCATCAAAAGTGAGACAGGATGTTGTGCTTATTTTTGTGACGCTCCTGACGTATGGTGTAGAAAGAAATACATCATGACAGCAGTTTGGATGGGAACATTTCACGATCTCGAATTCCGACATGGTTTGTCTAAACTAAAATTGAAATTATTTCTCGTTCTGATTTTGTATCAGCCAAATACTAAATAATGGGTTTAAATTATATATGACCTGTACTAAGTATACACACATCAGATTAAACATTATACAATTAAACATTAAACAATATAAACCATGAGCAAAGCAAACACAGGTGCAATGGAGGAGTGAGAATCCCCTGCCAACCGGTCACACCCGCTGTGTGCTCCTTGGCATGATCAGAGAAAAAAAATCTGTCGACAATTAAGTGTGTTAACAATGGCCTAACATTTGGTATGAAAAAAAGCAGTCAGCATTTGACTTAATAATAGATTATTTTTACTAATAAAATTACTTATCATGAGTTATGGATTAATCTTGCATTCTATATATGAAAACACAACTCACCTTTTTAAGACAATGCTTTTCAAGGTATTTTGAGAAAAAAACTTTTTTTATAAACACGTCACGTCATAAAGTTAAGTTTTACTAAAGAGTAAATCGTTATTAATTTCCCTGCTGAGATGAAATTAAGCCAGGATTCGTCATTGCTTTTAGATATGCACTCAGTATCTATACAAACAGAACATTTTATCCTTTCTGTCAAATTTACTTATTTTATGGCACAAGTATTAACAATATTATATATATATCAACTAAAAGAAGCTAGAATAACAACGTAGTGAAATAGTAGGGTCTGCCTTAATCAGACAGTGTTTTGAGCATATAAATGAAATCTACATAGTATATATATATATATATATATATATATATATATATATATATATATATATATATATATATATATATATATATAATTTGATCCAGAATACTTATCAATATAACAAAATATAAGTTTATTGTATTTGAGTCAAACACTTAAATCAAACACGATATGTAAATCAGGATACCATACCTGCTTACAAGGAGTCCCTTCTAATCTCTGACACAGATTTGTTTTGTTTGTGTTTTGGTTTTTTGTGTTTTTATACTTAAACATGTTTAAAATGTCGGCAATAATCTATTTTAACCTTTTCCTGATGAATCAGATGATAACGTTAGAAAGTGTGACTGTGTCAAACACAGTTTACCACTTATATTTGTCAACGTAGAGTAGTTATATCATCAAGTCAAGAATGATGTTATGTAGGATGCTAAGTAGTGCTACTATGAGGAGGTCTTGGCGTCAGATTACAATGTTTATTTTATTAATGTATATTTAAGAATATAAAGAAGATCTAAAAATGTAAATAAGAATAAGATTTTCTATCAATAAAAATAAAATTTTATTGACACATTTCTAAAAAATTGAATTTCCTCTTTTCCTCATAGCCCCTCAATTAAGCTAATCTGCAATTTATATTTTCTTTCATTTTCAACTTCACTTCAATTCCGAAATTCATAGAAAATCATGTAAATGTTCACTTCAAACCAACTTTCATGCATCATCATATTAAAGCTCAAAGGGGAACAGTTATTGTTGATTATGTACCAAACACTTAAATTTCTTTTAATCAAATGTGCCCCAATGAAGTTTCTTGTCCAATATCTTATGGTAGGGCCTAGAAATTCGTGATTATGATAGGTTAACAAGACTTTTATTGAAACGTTAAATACACTAAAACCGTCACATTTTGATAAAATTAACTGCATGATAAGATTTTTAAAAAATAATTCAATGTCATACAATGCTTTAATCTTAGGAAATATATGTATATTTTTTTAAAGTTTAAAGGTTAATGTTTTTTTAAAGTTGTTTCTTCTTTTTGTTTTGATGCCCCCATCCCCTTGATAAACGTTGCTTTCAGTCGTCTATCTTCTGTTTTTGTCTCTCCTACTTTGATCCTCATAAGAATAGTTCACTTACTCAGACTTGGTAGTTATTGTTCAAAAATGTTATGGGTTTATTATCATTTATAACATTGTTCAAGAACTACGCAAACTGACTCCCAATTCCCAACTACATTTTACCCTCATCAATTAAAACATTTTTGTCCCTTGAAATCCGGCTTTAAAACATTACCATATTTAAATATGCACGGAAATGGATATATGCCCCTTAAATCTTTCCGTTAAACTATGTAAAATTCAAAGTATAAGATTGATAGAGTACTATAAAACAATAGAATTGAATTTGAATCACGGTATCTTTATTAAGGAATTTCCATCCCTAATGGGACCACCCTTAAATGTCCATAGTACTCTGCTATTATATTAAAGCATTTTATAGTGGAAAAGGATCGCTCGCGAGAAAGTTTTTAAAAAATCATTAATTAAGCAGTAGTTAATTAACAAAGATTGTATTGAGGTCTATGAGAGAAAGCTTGTTTTTCTAAATAAAAATTCAAATAATTCGAATATCAATAAATCCTGTGGCGGAATGATGCACTGAAACATTAAAAATAGAATGACAATTGAAAACAATTTTTTACCGGCTAAATTTTTTTAATTGATTTTTTTTTCATTAATTAAAAAAAGAGGAGATAACTCTTACCAAAATTCAAGGTCATAAATTAGGACGCACCCCATTATATATACGACCATTATATATACGAATAGTAATAAATGGGAAGTATGCCTAAATAGACTGAGTATTTGATGCCTACATATCTGTTATGTATTCAATTCACTGAATGTGTTCCTATTAAGGATTGAATACCTTAATTTTCAAAACTAAATACATGTACTATGTAATAAAATTTTACGACAGATACATTGCTGAGTCTTGTAAATGATAAACCAAATCCTTATCCTTAATCCTAATAACACTGTTTCGAACTACCGGTGTGCATTGCTAGGAAATATTCATATCTTGTTTTGAATCATCCACAAATTGCTTTGTTAAAAAGAAACATAATTGTTTCTACTCTCGGGTACTCCGAACTCGTACTTGTTCCAGATGGGGTCTTCCAAAAATTATTTAAATTCCATTGAGCATTTATTCTGTTTGTTGAAAAGGTTAACTGGTTTTTTTAATCTTATGAGGCAGAATTTATTTTTCAAAAATGTACTAGAGAAAAAGAAAATTACTGATTGGCCTTCAACTTGACATTACGTTATATTGACAAAATACCGGTATGTTCGATAAACAATAGTCAAGTCGACTCGATTTACCCTAGTGAAGGACACCAAAAATCAAAATGATACATTTGGTTCATATGTGGATATTTTACTTATCACTTAACTTGACGATAAACGAAACGACGTTGGGTATACCATCGTCACTTTTCCCTACTACCGTTGTTATATTCCAAAATTACCAGCATATAGTGCTAATTAAGGTCTAACAACTGTACAACTTTAAACCGATTCAAACCACTAACAAATAAGTTGATGTGACAGGAATTTCTACAAAGTAGCTGAAAGGAAACATTTGCAAATTTAGACCTCTTTTAAATGACTTTGTTGGAGAAAAAAATACCCATCCTTTAGTCACATGCAATCTATTATTGTGTTGCATAATGGTTCATACAAATCAGGTCTTTTTTTAAGAAATAATGAAATACATGGACATAAAATAACAATATTCAAGCTGAAAAATCTATTCAAATAATTCAAATCCGGAGCAGTGCATACATAAAGCTCTAACACATAATAGTCTGGATCAGCTGCCATGGAAGAGTGAGTCTCACCTTCCGACCGGTCACACCCGTCGTTTGTTCCTTGTCATGATCGAGAAATAATGCAAAAATCAATCGAAAATTCAGTGTGTAACTAATGGCACCAAACAATAAATATGAAAAATTCAGTCAACGCTTGACTTAATGCTAGATTGTATTTGCTTACAAGGTCACTTTATGAATCATAGAACTTACGAATTAATGACTTTAAGGGAGTCTACTATAGTTTTATTGTCTGAAAACTACAATAGCGAAACTCTTCATTTTTAAACCATATATAACTTACATTAACTTCAGTTTACATGCAAAGTTTTGGGGAAATCTACCGTCCAGATATTTTTGAGGGACCGTCACAAAATACAGGTACATTTACTATAGGATTATATAGGAAAATGCCAATTTTTAGCACTTTAAATTAAATTTTACAAATACTACAATAGACATTTTGTTCAAACTATAATATTTTATTTTATCCCATGTTTAACCCTTTATCCCATTGATATAACTCATGTGATATCGTTTTCATATCACACAGTTGTGACGTCACAATGGATTTTGTGTTAGAGTGACGAAGTAAAATGAAATGGAGTCCTATATAAAAAGAGTGTCAAACATTGTTCGTGGTGTAAAAAATATGGGATAAAAAGAATCTCACATGATTTGTTGTTGGATATGATTTTTATCCAACTCGTTCTGTGTTTTTATCCCCTCGCCAAGGCTCGGGGATAAAATCCACACAACTCGTTGGATAAAAATCATATCCAACTACAAATCATGTGAGATCCTATATATATTTTATCGACCATAGAACTTATGAAATGATGACTTTTAACTTTAGATTTCTGACATACTTGTTTCATCAACATTTTTGTAAATAACTTCCCTCGTTTTAGAAATTGTTCGTACGTAGAGCATCCTCTTGCGTATCGAATCAACTGAGAACTACAACCAATATATCCCGTGATAGGGGTATACTGCTGCATAAGTAAGGGACAGTAAGGATTGAAAAGTTACAATTATCATGTTTATCGTAAAGGGTATATTGTTGCGTAAGTAAGGAAAGTTAAAGATTGAAAATTTATAATGATATAATGTTTATCGTGAAGGGTATAATGCTGCATAAGTAAGGAAAATTAATGATTGTTTATCGTAATTTGTTTATCAGAGAACGTTGTTGTTAGGTTACCACTGACGTATTCTTCTTGTAAAATATCCTGATATGAAACAGAAGTGTCAGACTCCGTGATATATCTTTTATCCCGTCTCAAGCTCACTGGAATATACAGTGTCGATATGTAAATGGAAATAACTTTTTTAAAATTCTGTTTCATATGAATACAAAAATAGTTCGTTCTAATAACGGGGCGCAATTGATACCCCTGAAAATTCAAACAAATT